GCGGCCTTCTTGCAATTATGACTGAAAGACCAAGGGATTCCCAGAGACTTCCATACTAACATCATTGAATTATATAAATAACACCAACTGCCTTCTCTGAACCTTTAATTATGTGAGAAAAATAAACTTATGTCCTAATTCGAATAGAAAACATGGCGCTTTCTCCAACATTTTGGTGACTCCTTTAGAATTTCTTTTTGGTGCGCCCATTTAGTCTTTCCCACTGCTCAGCTTCTCATTCAGACACTACTTTCTGCTCAGTACAGCCCCTTACTTCCAATGACACCTGATGTTCCAGACTGAGCCAGCCCATCCCCTCTGCTCCTCTTCCCCTGAGGACTGGACATTATCTTTACAGCCCAGATTTCTACGACCTTGTCCTGATGACTGACATAGTGTCCTGGTCTACTCGGTCTTCCTGCTTTCAGTCTCCTCCAGTCATTTCTGTACTGGACACTATCACCCATATAGACAACAAAAAAAAAAATAAAAATAAAAAAGGGAGGGGGGGTTTCTGTGATAAGCATGCCAAGTCCAGTGACCAAAAGTAATCACACAGTGTGATATGATCATAAATTCCTCACTGGGCAGATCATGGTGGACATGGACACCCCAGGCATATAAAAGGTTTATCTTTGCTTTAAGCAAGCCCTGTACATTGTTCTTATGCATCTAGGTTAACACATCTGTGAAATGTCTTTTAAAGACCCCCAGATATTCATCAGTCTATTCCATGCTTCTCAGAGGAAGGGTGTGTGTGAAGAGATTAACCAAATAACTTACATGAATATATGCGTAACCCATGGACACAGACAATAGTGTGGTGAAGGCCTGCGGGGAGGGTAGAGCGGACAGGATAGGGGTAGAGGGTGTCAGTGAGGAAGAAGGGGGGAGGACATTTGTAAGACTTTCCACAATAAGGATACATAAAAAAAAAAAAAAAAAAAGAGCTCAGCTGGTGTGGCTCAGTGGTTGAGCATCAGGAGATCATGGTTCAATTCCCAGTCAGGGAACATGCCCAGGTTGCAGGCTAGATCCCCAGTGGAGGGCATGTAGGAGGCAGCTGATCAATGATTCTTTCATCATTGGTGTTTCTATCTCCCTTCCTCTCTCTGAAATCAATAAAACATATTAAAAAGACCATTAAGAGGCCTAGTTGCATTCCAGGAAACACATAATGTTATTAACTGTCCTATAATTCAATCATAGAGATTCCTTTCTCTGTCCTTGTTTTTCCTACCTTCATCCAATCTTCCGAATGTCCCCTCCTTAGTTCCAAATGTGTAAAGAGAACTGCAAAGCTGTCATTCTGTGAAGTATTTGAGAACTTGCTTCTGGCTATATTGTCAGTTTGGCTCAAATAAACTCTACAGGTTTGGACATTTTTTACATCAACAAACAAAAAGATTTTCATAAAGAACATATGGTAATAACACTAAAGAGTCTGGTGGTAATATGCATCAAATGATGTAATACAAAATCGTCAGTGGTCCCCTATTGCTTACCACATTAGCTATTCAAAAGACTCCATAGTATAACTTCTATGATAATGTCAGCCTTATATGATACAATTTTTCTATATTTAACCTATTTCCTTGGTAAATGGAATATTATTGTTCTTTTAATGAATTTTGTTATTTTCTACTTGTATAGCATTGTTTGTACTATTTCTTCTTCCTGGGATTTGTAATGTCTTGCTCTTAATCTTATCTTCTAAAGATTATCCATCTATGAATTCTCAACTCCAGTGACAACTCTCCCACAATCTCCCATTAATATTTAAAATAGAAGAAGGTTCCTTTTCTATCATCCTGTGGCATAGCTATTTAAGATATACAACATACAACCACATAGTTTTCTTATTCAGGCACCCATGAGATTATCATATCTGTAAGAGAAGTAATAATGTAATAATATTTTATTCTAACATAATATTTATCATGTCCTCACTAGGTGATGGTAGGTGGCATGAACAAGATGGACCAGCTACTTGGAGTTTATGTTTCAAGAAGGGGCATGTTTTACAGATAACAAGAAAATAAATAAATAAGCTAATAGGATAACATCAAATTTAGATTGAATAATGACAAGTTCTTCCAGTGAAAGTATTTGAAATGAAGTTTCAATGATACGAAGAATCCAATCACAAAAAGACCAGACGAGAGCAAGTGGAAAATCATCCTGGAATTAGGAGTGAGTGTGGTGTGTTTGAAGGTCACACGGAAGACAGTGGGGCTGGAGCACAGTGTGTGGAGGGAGGACTAGCATGGGTGAGGTTATAGAGGTAGCCACTGGCCTAATCTTGAAGTCCTGTGAAGGCCAACCAAAGTGGTATGGATTTAATTCTAAGGTTTAAAACAGGGAGCAACATGGTCTAAATTACAGATAAAACGATCTCTCTGGCTGCTGTGTAGAAAATGGATTACACTGGCTTAAAAGTGGAAGCAAGATTAATTAGAAGACTGACACAGTAGACTGACAGAGAGAAAAGTTGACACATTGATAGTCTCTGTAGTATTAAGCATGGTATCTTGAACATGGTAGATACTCAATACATCTTATTAAACATGAGTCCAGATACTTTCACCTCCTTAATTCTATATTATCTTTTTCTTGCTTTGATTCATATGTTATACCCTAATATATTCCTGTTCCACACTTGGGAAAGAGAAAATAAAAGAACATCATATTCAGGGAAACAGTATAGATCCTATAATGGAACATCAGCTAACAAAGAACTGAAATGATGGAGGATCTTATTGTTAATTATGGAAAGAAATATATTACTTGAAACAAATGGTAAAAAGTAGAATTCAAATCTTTGATAGGATAAAAATAGTTAGCATAGTCAAATACAAAGATTTATATATTTTTTTAAAAGTGAGTCTCTATCAGCATCAGCCTGAATTCTGTGCTTTTAGAAATTGTGGGTAAAGTTAATATCATTAAATTGAAGACTTTTCCAGTTCTAATTTACTTTGATTTACCTGGCAATATAAAACATTTATTTTATTACCTTTATAAAATAAATTTCCTAATAAGTAGCTACTACTAGCTTACTTGAAAGAAATATTTATAGAATTCTAAAAGCATTGAAAATGACCTGCCATGTCTCTAAGTTAATGATCTGAGAAAAGTTAAGCAATCTGGTAGATCCTTGTTCTCTTTTTCATATACTTCCCAGAACATTTAGCTTTTTACCCATGAAGATTTGTCCTGCATTATTAGTTCCACCTAAATTCCTTCAACACAAAGCAAAATTGAGGAGAAAATGGGATCATTTTTTGCCACTTTCCACCTGAAATGCCGAATGGCTCCCGAATCGTGTGAAACTTGGCCCCAGTCAGTGTGAAAACTGGCTGAAATCTGTACGAAAGGCAGTCTGGGTTCGTCAAAGCAGTTCATGAACTTTGGCCAAACTTCCAAGAAACCTGGTCCAAGTCTTAGTTTGCACTGCAACATGAAACCAGGTGAATTTCACATGGTTTCAGGTTTCATCCTAAAAAATTTGGCTTCACTTTATAATCAATCATCACTTTTTAAAACGATGAAAGCCAACACACCTTTTTTAAAAGGAGGGCTGCATGCGTACTGATGACAGCTAAGCTGTGAACCACCCCTTCGCTTCCTTTGCCAAAAGAAGATTTCTCAGAATGGAAACAGTCTCCCCCTTACCTGCAAAGGGCAGGCTGAGGGCTGGCTTATCTCAGCGGTTCCTTCGAATACAAAGGGCAGGCTGAATGATTTGGGTATTGCGTGTAGAAAGAAATGATACGCAATACATGGAGACGTGCCATGTGAAATAATCACCACGTACCGAGCAAGTGGCTAAACTCTAATCATTTAAGGTTTTGAGAATTTTATCCCATTCATATCCATGACATATATCATAACGTTTAATCTCCTTGACCATAAAATAAGCTTTTACCTTGAAGCTAGTCATCAGCTAGAATAACTGCTATGAGAAACGAAACGTTCTGAGGCATAATCATTTCTGTATGAAGAATGGCTGAAGAATAGCAAGGCACGTAAATCATAGCATAACTTCCACCTCGCTTAATAAACATGAGGAGCTACGATACAGACTCTTCAGACTTGCACTAACTACATCATTTGCAACAAAACCTTGACTGCAGTGTACACAAATTCAATAATTATGCACGGTGACAAGCACATCCTACACAATTGCGTTTGCAACCTGGAAGTTTTAAATGTGCCTTTCCACTGTGAAATAAAAAGGCTCTCTTCAACTGAATGCTTGCTTTTGTGTGTAGTGACATGAGAAAATCGAGAGGTATGTCTGAACGGAGCCACTACATCATTGGAACAGTATGTCTGAACATTGGGGTAATAAGGCACAGATGTGGAGCAGAGGGACTTGGCACTACCAAGGTAACAACAAAGCATTCACCATGGTGTTGCAGTGGGTAAAAGAGCCACACTTGAGAAAAAGAAAAGGATGCCTCTCTCCTCCCTGGAATGCTAAATGACATTACACCTTTCATTTGCTCAAACATCTCTAACAAATAAGAAATTCAAATAAGTATTTATTCAAACATGATGAGGACTAAAAATATAAAATGCATTAATATTTTCATCTATAATATATCATATTTATTCAATAGCACATAAAACTTAACTGCAGAGGGGAAAAAAAAAGGCCCAATTTCATAGAAACCCACAAGGCCTTTATGTTGCAAAACACCGCATGCAATTATAAAGAACCCAGTGAGCTAGTGGAAAGATGCTATTGTTGACTGTTGATAGCAATTCAGGCCCTTAATCCATAGGGCTAATTACTGTGGAGTGTTCCCATTAGAGTTATCAAGTTAAGATACTACAACAGTGTATGCACATTATAATAATTATTATGGTTAATCAATTATTGTAAGTACAGGTGATATCAAACTATGTGACACATAGACAGTTATGAAACCAAGACAAGTTTGGAGCTGAAAGCTACAATAGTTTCTGCTCAGGATTGGAAGGGTACAACTTACCCGGGGTCCCTGATCACCTTGTTCTCCCTGCAGAGGAGGAAAATGAGAGGATAGTTTTAGCACTGAGTCTATATCTGATGTTCATTAAAAAAGATAAATAGAGTATAGATCATGTCAATATGAATTCCCACTAACAATTTGTTTCTGTTATTCATTTTCTTACCTTATCACCTTTGGGACCAGGAGGACCCTGAAGAAAAAAAGAGAAAAAAGAAACATAGTTTCAAAATAAATTTTAAAAATTGTAGTTTGCAAGATGAGCTAGGGTTAGGTGCAAGATTCATGCAAAGGGCACAGAGATATAGCTGTCACCGAGGTTTTTTGTTTTTTTTTTTAAAGGAATTTGGGGATCTAAACTATAATTATAATATGGCTAGAATATGAAAATTATATATATGGTATAATGGTGTATTTAGAGGGTGGCCCCCCAAAATATGCACATACACTTTGAATAATTATGAAGGCAGTGTTTATTAAAATACTTCTCATTTTCAAAATTGAGATATCAGTTGTTAGTGTAAACATTTTTGGAACCATTCTGTAGATACACACACACACATACATACACACACCACACAGAGAAAAAAGTACATTTCATAGGTACATTATATGGTGAATACATTTTCACAAACTGAACACACCTGTGCAAGTTGAACAACTAAAGAAACCTAGCAGCACCTGTTGTGACATTTCCTTATCACCAGTCTCCACCCACAGTGACCACTATTTCTGACTTCTGACAGATATAGTTTATGTACTTTATATAAATGGAATAGTATAGTATTGTCTGGAGTCTTTTGCTCAATATATGTGAAATTCCTGCACAATTCTGTGTGTACTTGTAGAGCATTTTTCTTTCTGCTTTATCATATTTCATTGTGTGAATAAACCACAATTTATTTACTCATCCCACCATTTGTAATCATTTGTTTCCTGGTCCTCATGATTACAAATAGTGCTTCCATAAACATCCTGGTTTATGCCTCTTGGTTAAAAGTGTATGCACTTCTTTCCTTTGTGTGGGGTGACATTTTAGCAAGTGATATTCATATGCAGTTATTTTGGATATATATACATACATACATATATATATATATATATATATATATATATATATATATCCAGGAGTGGAATTATTAAGTTACAGAAAATACATATGTTCAGTTTTAGCAGGCACTGCCAAATAGTTTTCCAATGTGGTTCTAACAATTTAAACTCCCATCAGCAATGTATGAGAACTTCAGTTCCCCTATTATCCTCACCAATCCTTGGTACTTTTCCAATTTTTTCATGTTAGACATTCCAGTGGGAGGTGTAGTGATTTCACATTGCACTTTAATTTGTACTTCTTCAGTGGTTAATTACGTTGAATTTATCTTAATGTAGGCATTAGCCATTTTGCATCCTCTTCTAGAAAGTGTTCACATCTTTTGTCCTTTTTCTATTGAGTTATCCTATTGATTTGTTAGAGTTCTTTATATATTATTAGAAGCCCGGTGCATGAAATTTGTGCACTGAGGTGGGGGGGGGGGGGGTCCTTCATCCTAGCCTGCACCTTCTCACAGTCTGTGAGCCCTCAGGGGATGTCCTATTGATGGCTTAGGCCCACTTCACACAGTCTGGCCTTCCCCAGCCAATCAGGGGAAGGCACCGCCCCCATCATCCCCTCGCTGCTGCTGCCTCTGACCTCCCTCTACAGTAGGCAACCCTGCAATCAGGGGGAAGTGACGCTCCCATCAAGCCTCTGCTGTTGCCACTGATGGCTGCGAGGCTGCCTGAGCCTTGGCCATTGCAACTACTGCAGCTTGCCTAGGCCTCGCCTGGCTCTCATTGCCTGATCTGGGCCCTCGCAGCGGCCATCGGCCCCTTGCTGGAGCCCCCAGATGGCAAGCGGCAGCAGCCATTGGCTGCGAGTTTCCTCATGCCTAACCAATCGGGTGTGCTCACCCGGTGATGTGCAGACTGCGTCTTCCAGGGTTCTCCTGGCTGCAGGGGAGGGTGCAGGTCTCCCTCCGGCCCTGGGTCACTGGGTCCGGCTGCTAGAGGAAATTCCCTACATTGGCTGCCCAGACACCTGGAGGCCTCCACCAATTTCCGACCCTGACCTGAGGGGCATTGAGGGGAGATGGAAATGGCCTGGAAGTTTGAGGGGCCGCAGGAACGAGCTGCCTTTCTCAGAACCTTGGCTGGAGGCCAAGGCAGGGTGTGGCCAGTGGGAGCTCTCAGCCCTGGAGCTCAGACTTTTCCATACCTGCCTTCCCTGCTGGGCTGTTCCTCACTCACCTGCCTTGCTGCTGGGCTGTTCCTCACTCACCTGCCTTCGCTGCTGGTGCAGATATTTCCTGGCAGAGCGGCTCTGCTGCCACTTGGCAGAAGGAACCTGTGGTCCTTCTGGGCAAGTGGCAGTGGCCATCGGGAGCACTCAAAGCTGCTACCACCATGTGAGGAGTACAGGCTGCCCTCCCCCAGGCCTGCCTCCCCTGCCTCTGTCCCCTCTGCCACTTTCCTGGGCCAGCCTGCGGCAAGTGACAGCAGCCATCAGGAGCTCTCACAGCCACCGCCACCACAGTGTGGGGAGTACAAGCCACCCTCTGCTGGGCCCGCCTCCCCCCCATGTCCCCACCGCCATCACTTCCCTAATGCTGCAAGTCCCACACACACACACCTGCTGCACACACAGCCTGCTGATAGGTCATTAGTGTGATGGCCTCCCCTACCAATTTGCATATTACCATTTTATTAGTATAGGTACTGCAATACTGTATATTATACACACACACACAAACACACACACACATGCAGAGAAAGAGAGAGCATGTGCAAATATATTTTCCCACTCTGTACATTGTGTTTTTATTCTCTTAAAGGTGATTTTGATGAATAGAAGTTCTTATCTATATATATAAAAAGCAAGTGACCAGAATACCATAACGACTGGAATGACCAGTTGTTAAGATGCCCACTGCAGCCAGCAAACCAGCTGATTGGGATGGGGCCAGCCAGCCAACCTCCCATGGCCCCTCCCCCCAGCCAGCCCCACCTCTGATTGGCCTCTCCCACCCCAATAGTTGGCCAATCTCTTGCAGCCCCACCAGCAGGCCCTGTCCTCAATAGGTCCCCACCACCCTGATCAGCCCATAGCCTGTGACCCTAGCCAGCCCCTATCCTGATCGTCCCACTCTACCCCAATGGGTGGTGGGGCTCACTAGCTAATCTCCCACAGCCCCTGACCCCCAATTACCTCCCCACCCCATTTGGGGGTAGGACCAGCCAGCCCACCACCCACAGCCCCTCCCCATGGCCAGACCCGCTCCCAATCACTCCCCCCCACACACATCAATAAGGGGCAGGGCCCACCAACCAATCACTTGTGGCCTCTGCCCCTAGCCAGCCCCAATCTGCCCCAATTGGAGCCAGGCTGGCCAGACTCCACCTGTGCATGAATTCGTACACTGAGCCTCTAGTTTTTAATAAAACTCAACTTAACACTTTTTCTATTTACAGTTATCTCTTTTTGTGTTCCACTTAAAAAATCTTTGCCTACTCTAAGATCATGAAGAGGTTCTTTTATGTTTATTATAAAAACTAAAATCTTTATCTTTTATCTTTAAATCCGAATTCATAGAGAATTGATTTAGTGCATGATTTGAGGTTAAAGTCAAGATAATCCACCCACACACATAGATATCAAATTAACCTAGCACCATTTATTGAAATACATCTTTTCCCCATTGTAGGATAGTATTATCTTTGGCTTAAATTAATGACCATATATGTGGACCTTTTTAGAAATTTGTTTTGTTGGGCAGCTCTCTATTCTTGAGACACTGAGATTTTCTTTACCTTTAAACAAAAATACTAGCAGGAAATATTCTAGAAGCATCAATACCTACCCCCCTACCCCCCCCCCCCCCCCCCCCCGCTCTTAAAAATAAAGCCACGTTTCAGGATTCAGCCTACCTGAGGATTTGGTACATTTCAGAGTTACCTGCAATCTCTTCCTTCACCTTCAGTAGGGCTGGGAGATAAGAAGACTAGATGGCAAGTAAAGCCAAGGTTCCAGCAAAGTACCCTCCTTAGTTCCCAGGGGAGATTTGCTGTCATTTCAGATGGGGAAGTAGGAATTTTCCACCTACTAAAATATGTCTTCTGTTAGCAACAGAGGAACTGTATCCAATTCCCCTTCTCAGTTGTGCCACTTCTACTAATAGTTGTGAGGTTATCATGAAATTAATAATATCAATAGCATCATGTTTTATGGTTTGTGTATTTTACTATCAACAAAGAATCTATTACAACATTTAACCTTTTCCCAACCCAAAGAGGAAAGTATTATACTAATACTTTTATATATGCCTGCAATAAAAAAATTATAAAACATTATTAAGGGCAGGTCTTTTGTGAGTTTAGTGTAGTCTGTGGGATTTTGAATGCAGTGATTTGGTAAGCTAAGGGTTGGAACACAGCTCTAGCACTAGATTCTCAAAAAGAATTTTGACCATGTGCCTGCCTTCAACAGGTGTTTTCTAAAATGTCTCCCAACTGCATTTCCCATGGGGTCAGGGACATTGACCTCAAGATCTCAAGTTCAAATGAGAGAAAGAGGAATTATACAGTATCAGGGAAAGGAAAAGGGAGCTAAGGTAATGGAATCAACTAGGCAAACTCCTTTTATTTCTTATCTAGAAATAATTTTGCTATTAAAAAGGAAACTTAATTTTAATATTTTCAGTAAATTTTTAAATGTTTTTACTAATGTTTTCAGTGAATCAAGTAGTAAGTAATAAGTACAGTCTGTGTGCCTACCTCTGTGCAGTTAAATTTAAGGAATTTACTTGGTCATATTAAACACACACAAAATGTTCACTAATACTCCACGAATAGAATTTTATTTTTGGTGGGACCAAAAAATGAAAGGATACCTACCATCAAGTTTAAGAAATATAATGGAGCCCTAACTAGTTTGGCTCTGTGGATAGAGCATCAACCTGTAGTCCAAGGGCATGTGCCTTGGTTGCAGGTAGATCCCCAGTAGGGGATGTGCAGGAGGCAGCTGGTCAATGTTTCTCTCCCATTGATGTTTTTAACTCTCTATCCCTCTCCCTTCCCCTCTGTAAAAAATCAATAAAATATATTTTTTTAAAAGAAAGAAATATAATGGAGACTCCACTCTTGATTTAAGCAGAATGT